TTTTGTAGTCCTATCCGTATTTCATCTGAAACAGTGGATCCTATAGAGTTTCAATATTTGTTCTTCTTTCCTCCCTGATATTGTTCAACAAAATTCAGAAAATTGCCACTAACGGTGCCACTGAAGACGAATCGACTGAATAATGATATCGATTCGGCGCGCCCTGTATCACAAAGTTTCCTACGATCTATGATTATAGGGACTATCTTCTTTTCTTCTTTTGAGACGCCCTGTCACCTCTAGAAAAGCAACCGAAATACCCCTGCATAGTAACAGACTAACACATGTGCCTCCAAGATGGCAGGTGAAGTTAGTTATTCCTTGTCTCAGTCACTAAGTGTTTGTAAGGTAGAGGAATATGATTTTTTTGTTGAAATTGAGAAATTCCGAATGGCACCACCAATATGGAGGACGAGTTTATTATTCGTTGTTCAATGTATTTGGTGAATGAGAATTTTTTAGAGTCGAGGAATACGAATTTCTAGTTGAAATTTGGAAATACAAAATGCGGAAATGGGATATTCAAAATGGTGCCTTCAAAATGGAGAAAGAGTTTGCCATTTCTGGTTCAATTCGACTGAGAATGTTTATCTGAAGGTTTTACGAATAGAAGAATACAAAATACTTGCTGAAATTCGGAAATTCAAAATGGCGCGTCCAAGATAATGGAAGACGAGTTTTCCACTCATTGTTGAATACGCCTAAGAAATCATATCAGACAGTTTTTGGTGTCGAAAAATCAATTCAGGATAGGCGAACGAGTTATTATATTTTTTATCTGATTGTCCTTGGAATATCTATCTGAGAGTTTTTGTAGTTTATGGAATATTTTGAGATTGTCCTGGAAGTTGAACTCATTTTATGAAAATGTGCTAGCGTAGACTTTTTGATGTTCATTTTGCTGAAAAGGAGTTTTTGAAATCAGATATCAAATGTTGATCATGTAAGAATTATCCAACAAATCTTCAGATACAAAAATAAATATAATCGAAATCAATTCATTTCCCGGATGAAGAGGAAGCATCAATTTTATATTGAGAGACAAAATATAAAACTATATAGACTGGCACTGATCACTGAAATAATACAGAGTGAATAATGTATAGATAAAAGAGTAAGGTAATCAAAGCGATGGCTTTGAGAACATGTCTCAAGTATGGCCAAGAGAAAATTCGAGGCATTACGCTAAATATTCAATGAGATTCTTCAGACAAGAAAATTAATATCAATAGATAAATATGTAAAGCAAATCATATATATACATACATTGTTCCGTATACCTAATGATGATGATGATGATTATGACGATGATAAATAGCCTGTTCGTTTATATTGCTAAACTTGCTGAAGTTGATTTTTTTCCCATAGTTGTCTCCCTTCATGGCATGATGTAAACAGAGAAAGTCATAGAAGAAAATAAAGTTCAGCAGGTAGAGCAAGCAGAAACGAACAGGACTAATATTAACAATAAAAATAATAATAATGATAACGAATAATGACATTATAATAATAATAATAATGATATAAGTAACTAATGAAACTTTCATCTGAAATAATGATAGGTATCTCAGATGTCAGAATGCAGAATAGGTAATCATTGTGATTTATTCTGGCTAGCATTTCTTCGAAGCCATTATTGAATTATGATTTGCAGATCAAATGATATGAATCAGATCACTTCCTTAGACAGAGTCCGCAAACAATTAGGTTTCGAAATCTCAAAAGATTATCATGAAACATACTTGTTGAGACTGGAGACCTTACATGCCATATTATCTGAGAACAGGGTTGATTTTGCCATTTTCAAATTCAGTAGAATAATTATTTGTTTCACTAAGCCATTTTTCCTCGAGATTAACCACACGAACCGGGTCAACAATAAGTTAACCAGTAACAAGTAAACCGTGACGTAATAATGAAGTTACCGTGACGTCATCATAAAGTTAACCTGGTTTGGCTGGTTAGGTTCGAGGAAAAATGACTCGACAGAAAAGCACAAAATTCAATAGGAAACCATCCAATTTCAATTTTGATTCAATTTGATTCAAATTATCACTTGGAACGTTGCATAGCAACACATTTTTTCTGCCTGGGCAGAGTAAGTACGCCTTGTCTGCCTATTGAGTGTCATAGAAAAGCCACTTTCAATGTAATTTGGAGAGAAAGATACTTATGCTCATATCCCTTCAGTACCTACTCTACAAGCATATCACTATTCCAATACTTTGGGAGCAAAACGAAATTTCATTCTCAGGAGACCAAACTGGATCCTATAACTAGTGTAAAGTGAATGAGAATATCACAATTAACAAACCAGGCTGACCAAAATCTAGTTAATCCAAAAACTAGTACTGATAGATTGTCAGTAACATATCCGGTGCCTAGTAATATAAAAAATTATAATAACGATGTTGAATTAATTTGCTTGAGGCTGATGCGAAACTTGTCAGGTTCGGAACATGTTCCTCCTTTTATGATCTAAGGATATTGAACATTGTGAAAACTATATTTTGGCTATGTGAACTACATTCCACTTATAGATATGGATTAAGACTATATAAACGGTTTATTTGATTTCATTCTTAAACGATAGGTGAACGATTTTCTATAGTTCTTCTTCTACACCTCTATTTCTCTTTTCTGAGAGCAATTTCATTTTCATCTGTATAAAAAAAGAATATTGTCGACTAACTTATTTTAAGATCAGATTAGTTAACGAATTCCTACGTCACGTTTTATGGTAGTGAATGTGTATATATTATTGATATCAGAAAAAATTGTTTTGAGATATACAATAAAGAAGTATTCCACAAAAAGAAAAACGAACATTCGATTCGTGATCAGACTTTTGAATATCTCCATTATTTTGTAGATATTGGATGACCAATTCAGATTTAAGGAGCTGATCTTAGAAAACCGGAGACAATTTCGAACACTCTATATTATGTCATCAACTGTCGAAATGTTTTGTTCTTTCTATAGCCTAGTATTAGAATGATGGGAAAACAAAAAATTGCTATTTGACCATGCAGCAATCAATTATTTACTTGATTAAATCAGGAAAACTATCATCTGGCCGACATTACCATTATCATTTTAGGCATTACCAACCCTACTCCACCAAAATTCAATGAAATGCAAGGTTTGAAAAAACATTCAGGTAATATTTATGTGAATGCAATGTCTCCATAACAATAAATGCACAATTCAATGTCTCCATGATAAGAAATGCAAACAATATTTTTATATACAAGGTGCTCCACCGCAGTCATGATAACCTTTATTATCGTTGTGTTAAAATGAGCGAACCCATTATTTTTCTATAATTCAATCGAATCTAGTGCTACAGTGTAAAAAAACTTGGCACGCCCATGGGTAAAAATTGGAGAAGCAAATGATATAGTACACTTTGAGTACAATTTCACGTAGCGACATCTAAAGAATAATGGCGGAGGCGCCACCTAAAAGTTCATATTAGTTGGCTGAAGGTCATTGGCGGTCATTTTTTGAGATCAAAGGATTTTCAAACTTTGCACCTACTTGTCTGTGCCCTCGTAAAGTACTGGATGATACGTAAGAAATCAAAAGAATAATTTTCGGAAAGAACGCTCGAAGCCGTTGAATTTTATTTCTATTCGAGAAATCTTTCAAATTTAATTGATACATACAGAATAATTCGTGTAGGAGAAATAACTAATCGGTATTATTTCAATTACAACCCCAACGGACGCATTATATACAAACTCTATGTATGATATATTTTTGAATTCAGCTTTATATAGGGTGTTCTATTTAAAAAAATTGCCGCGGACGTTATTACTCAATCGTGGATCACTTTGTATATTTTATTTAATTTTCCCTTATATGGCAAAATGACAATAAAAATCGGCCTGTACCAGAATATTCATCAGAAAGCAATGAATTTATGCAATACCTCACTCAGAGAAAGTTTGTGCATTTCGTTGTGGTACACCAAGTATACAATGAGCGGCTAAATTATGGAAAAAATTCGATATATCTGAAATAGCAGGGATTTGCAAATAACCTTGAATACATCAAATTCGTTTTTTGTAGATTCATAATATTCTGAATTATATCATAAATATACAAGTTGATGCATACCTTGATAGGCATACTGATTATTATGCCATATTGAAGTACGTAAGGAGTACCGTTACGAATTTAACGAGACCAGATTTGCTGGGGGTATGTTGAACTGGGTGCATCATGTTAACCCGTCCTTCCCAGTTTTACTGATATGATTCACTCTGTACCTTTCTGAAATAGTTGAAAATGAAGTCATACAAACTCTCGATATGCTTAACAATAATATCGAATTTGTTCCGTAATTTGGCCGCTCTCGTGTTGAATATAGGGTCCCTAAAGGTTCTTCACAAGAACCTACCACATATTCTTTGAACCAAGTTTTAAATCGGTTTTGATTTATAACTTTGAAAGGGCTCATGAGATTCTATTCAAATTTTGATGCGTTGGCATAGCTTCAAGGGACAATAAAACCCATATCATTATAATGATATGGGTTGACCTTGATTTCTCAGTAAATTAACATCTAAAACCTCCACCACAATGAAAAAAGGGGTTTGAGCAAGAAATTTGGATTCCATACAATATTTGTATTTTAGTAATTGAGAATATAAGTGAACATTGAAACGAAAAAGATTGAAATTTACTGTTATCAGCTATTTTTTGTGTTTTTTGTACGTTAAGCCCGTCTAGCGCACAAACTGAGCAGGAAAATTGTTTTGGTCTGAGGAATATGTGGAAGGTCAGGTTTTTGTAAAGACCTACTTGAGTCCCCTATGTATGTTGACAATAACTACCTATTCTGAATCAACTAGATAGAAAAATATCGAGTGATTACAATCAGTTCGGATAAGGAGCATTATATAATTATTTGTAAAAATAAAAATTTTGCATAAGGCATTTCATAATTCAACTAACATTTTTCGGCATGTCTGAATTGAATATCATAGGAGATACTAACTATAAGATTCGGACAGCGAGACCACACATTTCTCCACAATTTGCGTAAATGTTTGTTTTCCTATAGTAGTACTAACTAGCTGTATACTTCTGAATAGCTGATCAGAAGAAATATCTTCTGGTAATTTAGTAAGGAATTGTGCTCCATGTAAAAAGTCCATGTCCATCAAATTATGTCGATGTAAATGTAAGATTCCTGGAGAAAATATAAATAAAATATCACCAATAATACGAAATGGTCATCAGTTTAGTTTTCACTTGAACTCGCATTGTGTGTAATCTATATCAATGACTATGAAAGGATACTCTTGGATATTTATTAAATGAGCTAAGGAAGCCTGTCTGCTAAGTGCAATCCAATATTATATTGCTTTGCTGATGTTTGGACGACTTTGGACAACTTTTCATAAGTATTATAAAAATATGTTTCCAAATTTGAGCGAGGCAGAAAACTATCAATCAGATGAGGTATCCAGTTGGTGTCACCAACATCAGCAATGAAATTTATTTTATTCGTTGCATTTTTCAATTGATACTGTTGATGGGGTAGTGCCAACTGTCAGCAAAATGGATTGATTGAATATATGATTGATTCCTAGCAGATTTGATAACAGTGTATTCACTTGTGGTATAACCTACATACGACTAAACTTACATTAATCTAAAGGCACAATCGTGTGATCAGATCATGATCAGGTGAAATGTTGAATAATGAGAACCAGTCTCATCAACTCTGAGAGCTTGTATTCAAAGGGATATCAGCATCCGCAAAAAAATTGCAAAACCAAGAACGAACGATGATTTCACCAACAGAAATACCTACATTTTAGATGTTTTTATACTCGATGTGGTCTTGCAACATATTATGCTCCCTTTCAATTAAATTTTTATAAATAGGTGAGATATTACACTTTGTCAAAAAAGCCAAACTGTATGTTCATAATGTCAACTGTACAGAAGGTCCGTTCAACTTATTGAGACAATCAGTCATATATCTCGAATTGTTTCATTTCAGAAGTGAAGTAAAACAGTAGTGTCATTTTCTAATTCTAGGGTCTTTTTCAGGTTCATTGCAGGGTTAACTTTGTTTTTCCAAATAGAAACCTCTATTTTTTTTCTGGACACAGTTTCATATTCAAAAACCATGCATTTCAGAGAAAATATGGAAATAATAGAGATGTTTCATTTTAGAAACTGAGACTGATATTATAATCATGTCTGACCTTGGGAATGGTTTCAAAATTAGTGCAGAGTTGACTTCATTTTTTCAAATAATATTTTTTGCTACTAACTAACTTGAAATAAACTGAAAAATAAAAGCGTTGATCAGGAACTAACGTTTTGTAATGCACTTCTATACATGTCAGAAATACATTGTCCACTGTATTTCAAGAGTTAGTAAAACTGACTAAGTTTCAGATGTTTTGGATTATAATATACACAATAAATAGTTTAATGACAACAAATAAAATTTTCTGCAATTAATGTTAAATCCTTTATATACATAATCACTGTTGCTCGTCATCCAAATAACCCCTTTATTTGGAATGCGTTTTTTGAGAAATAAGGAAATCATTGTGGAAATATGTAACAGAAAACAAATACTTTTCTGGCTAATACCACAAAATATTGAATCATACCTGTTATGTATCGAAAAATAATATATCTAATTCTGAGAAGATATTATATTCTTTGCATCATTTCTTGAGAAAAAGTTACTTATCTCATTAGCATTATCTATAATCCATTGCAATTGAATTGATGAAATATATATAATTTAAATATTCGACTCACCGAAAAACAGCATAATATCCGTGATGCAGAAACGCATCTTCTACATACAGATCCCCTATGATTTCTGGTGTACTGAACATTATTTCAAGATTCTGCTCTGCTCAGGAGGATGAGAAAGGATGACATTAACAAATTTTGATACATTGATTCAAGTAGTTGTTTTCTGCTAAACATTTAAACAATTAATAGTTAATGTACTTTTTTCATTTTCTTCAAATTAGGTATTTCCAATATTTGACAGGTATAATTCAATATTCCGAGGTATTAGGCAGGAAGGAGTTGTTTTCTGGTATAAAATTTCAACAACAACGACTTCCTCAATGAGAAGTAAAAAGTTTTTTACCCAAATGTTCTAAAAATGACCGACAATAATATCTGACGTAAGAAAAAAACTACTTTTCTGAATAATGTCATGTAGAACATTGAATTACTTCCTGCCGAAATCTATGAATCGCTCCGTTTAAATGAATACTGATGCAAGTGTATCTTTCCTGAATGCCGAAATGTTTTTAGATTGAAGCCAGGTTAACGATTGACACATATAGACCAATTTCGGGCTTTTGGCCCTCATCAGTATAGGGAAGTTACTAGTCAGCAGTCGTAGTCCATTGAAGAATCAATGCATAGCTTTAGGAAGAATGTAATTCAATATTCTGCATGGCATTAGCCAGAAAACAGCTTGTTTTTCTTCCGTCATCATTAAGGTTCAGTTTTTGAACATAGAAGATGTTCAGAACAGAGTGGTATTTTGCTAGACTATTTCACGAATCATGAGAAGCATTTATTATAAATGGACAAGCAATATAACCAGAGTGATTTATTCTGACATCTACAGCTATAATTATTTCAAGTCAAAATTACTTTACTTTCCTATCCATGATTACATCGTTGGAAACACCAATGCTGATAGAAAAATCAGAATTAGAGACAGCTAGTGTTTTAACGATAATACAGGTTGTCTTTGGCTTTTGATTGGTCAGATTATGTGAGAATAGTCAATAACATTTCACTCCACTTTGAGAATTTTGGCTATTTCATAGTTGAAATTATATTCTTATTTATCAAAAAACATTCTGTTTGAAAATTCAGAATTACTCCACAATATCCTCGGAAACGATCCCAACTCCAGAAAGTGTTATCACTATTATCAAACGATTCAGAAATGAACCTACATTGTCATTTGGTTTTTGCTTCTTTTCAATTGCATGGCTTTCAATTATAAGACTGTATAACTTGTTAATTGTTTCTGGTCCTCCATAATTGAATGAAGGAGAATTTTCAGGTTTGGAATGCATTGGATATATGGCTATCTCAACCTAACCTATGAGAGCCATGTCCCCCAAATTCCCCATTGGCAGTTGAGTCACGTCAGTCAATCCAATGTTATACTACATCACCTAGATTGGACCCTAGATGACGTTAAAGATGTAATTCTAGATCGGCTTGAAATCACTAAAAGTATTTGCATCTCACTAAAGAAGTGCATTAAACATGATAGTTCAAAATTATTTCATACATATTAATTTAATATCTAGGTTTCTACGTCCATGAGAATTCATGAATTGATGAAAAATATGTGCAAAGGAACTACAGACTAACTAAAAAATATTAATGATATTCACACTCACCCAATGCAGTCCTGAAGATGAACTCCTGACCGTCTCTCAAAAAAACATCCCAAACCCTACAAGCAATATCTAACGGCATTGCCTTGGCAAAAATCGTGTAAATCCAATCCAAAAGATATAAATCTGGCGTGAGTCCAGATTTCTCAAAATGAGAATGCAATTTTGGAAGATTGTGACAGAAAACTTGATTGTAGGCATTATAATATGCTTGCATTTGGGCTTGGTTGAGTGTGAAAGCAGATAGGTGGAGGGGTTGGTTGAGCATATTAGAGAAACAAATGAAGGCTTCGTAGGGCTCCATATTGAGAATCAAAATGGCAGCTATATACGACATTCCTTGGACGTACCTGTGAACAAAATAATGATGAAAATGATAACGATGATAATCATGACCATCATAATACTGATAGTAATCTTCATTTGATTCATCATATAATGTATCCATGATAGGGTGATTAACTATAGATTTCACGATATTAACAATTGCTATCTAACTGAATGATATTGGGAAAATTCGAAACAAAATTTCGAATCAGATGCTGTTCTCTTTCATATTAGGAGAGCGTGAAAACGTTTGATTAAAAAAACACCCTATATAACCTTATTATTATTAGTAAGTAGTAATAGTAGTAGAGTAATAATGATGGTAATGATGATGATATAAGTATAATTCGTCTTCAATCACCATTAGCAGAAAAAATATAAAACAAAGATATATACATGAATAAATGGTTTACCTAACCGTATACCTATTTGCAATGGTGAATAGGCGAAGTATCAGCAAAACTGTCTATCAACTCTTTTCTCAACTGTTTCTAGGTTTCCATATGCATCTAATTTTCAAACGTATCATCTGGATGTGTTGATATAATGATATACACAGTGAATTTTTTATATTATAATATCTGATTGTGGATTATTCCAAGATTAATTGTCAATATTTTATAGTAAGAGAATTTTTTCGTTTTCCGAAATTCTAAATTACTTGAACTTCGAATATCATAAAAAAATTGGAAAAATGCTTTCATAACAATAGTAATGTTCTTTATGAATTTTATGATAATGTGTGGAACAGGTAATGGAGAAATTTGAAAAATGAACATCTTCATATATTTTTTTTAAAACTATTCGATAGATTTTTGAGAAATTTTGAATAATAATATTGACTTGAAGCGTTTATATGAAACAGATTATTTTCAGATATTTCGAATGTGCATTCTTGTTTCATGCTTCATATGAGCAATTTCGATCCAGATATTCGCTTTCAAAACGTAAGAATCTGAAAAATTATGCAGTCTGTACTGTACTGAAGCAAAATAGATCATTTCCAAATTATAGATATTAATGCATGTTTGAAACGATTTAGTTCAATTTCAATTCTTTTTTCAAGGTCTTATGGACAAGATTTCCAATGACCCATTCTCTGTATGCACATGGTTTGCGATTTGGTGAAATAAAATTATAACCTAATGTAAATTGTTCAACCTCGAATATTTCTAAAACGGCTGAACCAATTATAAATAATCAATAGGTATACCAAGTGATTTTCCCAATTGGCACACCCCTTTTACTCTTTTATTATTGAAGCTAGTGAAACATACTCAGTACATGGTCTGCAATTTGGTAAAATAAAATCATAACTAAATGTAAAATGTTGAACCTCGAATATTTATAAAACGGCTGAACCAAATATAAATAACCAATAATTATACCGGACGATTTTCCAAGTTGGCTCACCCCTATAACTCTTTCATTGTTGAAGCTAGTAACACGAGATTTGGGGGGGGGGGGGCTAGGGATTATCATGACGTATTTAACGATACTGGGTGTGACGGCGCAATATGGAAACTTCTTTCTCTCTGAATGCAAACATCTTCGTAATCGTTCGAAATAACCCAATGAAACCCGGAATCGTTGCATTCGTTATGATGATTCCTAACCGATTAACCCTATAACTTTTGCATTTGAGGTTTTTTGTATCTTTAATGATGTACCCTGTAGAAGCTGTTTAAATATACGGAATGACCCTGTATATGGTGTGCCAAGCTAGACACTTTCGATAGAAAAGTGAGGAAAGTAATGTTTTCAAACTCTTCACATTGAAAAAAACTGATGTCAGTCCCTGGGAAGAGAGGTACAGGTTGTATTTAAAAAATTTGCATGTTTGAAAAGTGGCTGAAATTCTTTTTTTTTTTTTCAAAGGGTTTTCCGTTTTTATCAAAGTCCTCTGAAAGCATAATGTTAGTCCTAAAACTTGATCCTCAGGCACTGAAAAAACGATTATCCCTATCCTTCAAACACCTCCAAAATACGAGGGTGGTTACAGTTGAAGCGAGACTGTATATACATTGGATAACTCAATTTTGAAGGATATCCTAAGAGACTTTTCAATCGATGAACGGAGGTCTTCAATATCAGATAATTGCAATCAATCAGTTGTCATGAGATTTGTCAACTTGTCACTGAAACATGTCATTTGGAATCAACAAAATAATTGATGGTTATCCCACATAACATTGGTTACCCCCATATCTGGTAAACTGAAAAAGAAAAAAATTGCGGATCAAAGTTGTTCACAGTCATGTGAACTTTCAATTTTAGATGATGTCAACTATACAGGCTGATCCATTTGTCTGTGACATAACAAACATACGTTTTTTCAAATGGAATACCCAAAACTTCATTATATTTATGGATAGACCTCAAAAGGACTAGTTCAATGATGTGTGTTAAATGGGTCTGATATCACCCGTTTCGGATTCATACCCGCTCTTCTTCAATAAATACCCAAATTTCAAAGACCTATAGAAACGTTGACAATCAAGTTTTTGACGAGCAGTTTTCGCCATGGATTAATTCATTTTATATGTTTATAAAATTAAGAAAACTTGAAGTTGAAAAAAGTGATAACGTATTTTGCAAACCGATCATTTTCTCAGAATTTTCGGATGGAACCCTTTGAAAACGTTGTCTATTAAGTTTTTTTTATGAGCAGTATCCGTTATAAATCAATAAATTTTATATGTTATCTGTATCGTCCTTCAAAATTTGGGTCTCTTGAATTTGCCAAAAGTGATGCTGTATTTTTGAAAATTGAACATTTTCTTGGAATCTCAAAAGGAACACACTTTATTCCATCTCATTTTTGGATCAAGATCGAAGAGACCATCAGTTCAATGGAAAAAAAATATTAATAAATTTTTCGCAAAACCTTTTCAGAATCCTGAGGAAGAGGATTGAATTGTGGACAAAAAATTATTATCCTCTCGGAATATATTATTTAGGTGCCTATATTCTGACGAACCATTATCTAGGTCAATAACGGTGATGTGAATGGGAACCAGGAAGTGTCTTTAGCTTCAAACCATTGACAGGCTTCCGTTTTCATCGTCATTCTTCATTTTTGCAAATAATTATCGAAATTAGGTACCTTGAGATTTGGATTTTGCTGATGCAGTATCTCGTTGGTGTAACAGAATAATTAGTTACTAATGAATAATGGGAAAGCTCATAATGGTTCAAATCCAGATCCATTTTAAAAGTGAAAGGCCACAAGATTCTGGTGACAGACAATCAGTAATTTAAAACTGCAATAATTCGACAAGAAGAAATATCAAAAGAGATATGAACAATTATTATTCTTATTCACCTACCCAACATCAGGTCTATAACACACATAAGCAGCCAACAATGAATGCAGTGCCTCAGAGTAAGGCCCGCCTTCCTGAAATATACATAACTGCGGGAATGTCCTAGATATATCCAGTCTTATAACATCCAAGCTACTCTCCTGATCAATTCCGTGCTCATTCTGAGGGGGCTCCAAGCTATTTAGCCTGTTTTGTGCACGGCATAAACAGATCTCGTAAAGCTGCTGAGTGAGATTCAAATCATTGCCGATAGCAAGCTTCCATACTTTTCCACGCACACTGGATGGAAGACCGTGCCACCACAGATCATAAGTTTTCTTGTTTGAATGCCTGTAAGTTAAAAGTAATTTTTTCTTTTGCAAATATTTTGACGATGTTGTCAATTTTTATATTTTGCCTGTTATCTTCAAAAAAATATTTCTAGAACTATTGTTGGTGTATAATATGTTTTAATGAGGTTTTGAGGGGTTCTGAATTACGGTGGCGGTCAGTTTCACAAAAATATAGCCGACATCTAGCCGAACCTGGCTTTTTGTTCCAAATTATACTGTATTATTTGAATAAGTGTACTTCTCTTTGTGACTCGCCTTCTGTCGTACTATTCTATTTTATATTGTTCTGTATTATTTCATTCTATTTTATTCCATTTTATTCCACTGTATATGTAGTATGAGCAAATGCACCAATATACTGTTTTTTTATTAAATACCCACATGGCTTCCCAGGATTTTTTTTGTTTCAAACTATTAGTTCAAACAATCTGTACATCCATAGATACAAAAGATCGGGTAGTTCTGATTTTTTTGGTATGCTGTATCTATAGAAATAATATTGACTATTTCACTCATCTCAAAATTATCACATAATCTGTCCGATCACAAGCCAAAGACAACTTGTGTTATCGCGAAAACACTAGCTGTCTTTCAATCCTGATTGGTATATCAGCGTTGTTGTTTTCAACGATGTCTTATGCTTCGTTAAATAGTCAAGCAAGATACCACTCTGTTCTGAATTTGCCGTACAGCAATACAACTCATCCTGACCGACTCGTGGTGTTGCTCGTCAACACAATTTCATGAACAAAGCGACAGAATTGTCTCGATTATTCATGTCATAGTGATATAACTGTTGAAAAGCCCAAATTTTCGGCCTTGCGCCATGAACACCACCAACGCCGGAAAGCGGCGAAATCTTTGACCTTGTTCGAGTTTTTTCGAAGTTTTAGCACAGCTTACCTAACAAACAGCTCACCAACTCTTGTCGTTTCCTTTGATCTATTGTGAAGTGAGAATATGACGTAAGCGGCGCCATTATGGGCGGAGTCAATATAAACAAAGAGCTAAGAGGAGAAATACTAGCAGTAAAGACCAAGTTCAACTGGGAAATAAACAAAAATGGGCAAGCTGAGCGTAGAAATGACATAATCATCATGGGAGTTGCAAAAACCAAACCAAATGAAAACACTGATGAAATAATAAAAAGAATTGGTAACACTCTTCAGGTCCCAATAGGTAAGATACGAAGTTATCGAGTAGGAAAATGTCCTGTGGGTGAAAAATCACCGATAAAAGTCGAGTTTGAACTACACAATGAGAAAGAAACTTTCATGAGGGCAAATAGAGTTATCAGGCCAACAACAAGTGAGGTGAAACTTGATGGGCCAAATGAACCCATTTTCATGAATCATGATATGACCAAAGAAAATGGAGAACTCTTCAAAGCAACAAGGCAATTCAAGAAGGAAAACAACTATAAATTTGCATGGTTCAGCCAAGATAAAATTTTCTTAAGAAAAACTGAGACATCAAAATCTATACATATACAAGGTCAAAATGACCTAGAGAATTTAAAAAACTAAGTACCAGGAAAAAAGGCATAACCATCACATATACAAACATACGAAGTATAAAAAGTAAAATTAAGGAATTACAATCAATAGTGAGCCAAAGAAAAACAGATTTACTTATACTATCTGAGACCTGGCTGTATGCAAATGAAACTCACCAGTACAATATTGATGGTTACACTGCAATACATGCTTGCAGAAAAACGAGAGGAGGGGGTGTGGCTATATATGTGAAGCAGGGAATCAATTACTATGAGATGGAAAAATCAGATGAGAAAAGTCAATGTGAATATGTCACTATCAACTTGTATGATATAAAAATACAAATCATGGCTGTATACAGACCCCCAGCATATGAGGTCGCACATTTCATTGAACAGTTTGGTGACCTACTAGCATAAAAAAAAGAAGGACTATTGTGATAGGAGATATGAATGTCAATCTGTTGAACACTGAAGAAAGGGCATCCTGAGAATACTTGGATTGTATTCAACTATGTGGATTCCATGTTATGAATAAACTGAATGAAGACTGTGCTACAAGAATTACACATGTTATGTGCAATAGAAACAGTTCACAATATAATGTTGAGATAAGTGAGAATTCCATATCGGATCATCAATAATTAATGTATGTATTACTCAATGAAAATGTACCTGAATGTAAACCTAGGATATATATAGATAAAGTAAATATTAACACAGAAACTTTCAAACAAAAATTCACATTTTATAGTAATCAGGAGCCTATCAATACTTTTGAAACCCTAATAGGACACATTCAAAAATCAAAATCTGAAGCAAGTTCAAAAAACAAGAATAAAGATTAGAGAAAATAATACCTGGATTGATGCAAATTACCTTGAACTAATAAAAAAAAGAGATAAACTTTATAAACTAAAAATACAAAATCCTCTAAACAATGAAATCTGTGAACAGTTCAGAGTAGCAAAAAATAAAGTTGTGCATCAGGGCAGATTATTGAAACAAAAATCCATTAGAGAAAAATGGGAAAATGCAGGAAGTAATATAAAGAAACAATGGAACATTGTTAATGAGTTTATAAAAGGTGTTAGGATTTGTATTTTATATCGAAATCGCGAATGTATGGGTTTAGTAGTCAGGGTGACAGCAGGTGTCGTGAAGTTAAGTTTGTTTAATAATTTTGATGTTTATGTCAATAAAAATACTGAATAAAAGTCAAGACTGATTTACAGAGTATTTCATTTGAAAAAGAGCAGATTTTGCTGATCCTTCGACCACGGATATAAGAACATCTGTCTCTTTAAGGTAAGACAAGTGTACAATCATACATTGTGCTGGTCCTTGATCCTCAAAGAATAATCAAGATATGGAGAATCACGGTTACATGACAAGAAGTAAAAGCAGAGCAGACGAGCAAGGCGTAGCTGTAGAAGATGATGGAACGAACATGGGTGCTGTTGGTGATGCAGTAGAGATAACCTGGTCAACGACTTCAAGCTCTCGTCACAACAGTAGACAACGATCAATGATTGCTACCAAGGAGGACGTCAGAAAGAAGAAGTCGACGGACTCAAGCGATGAAGCAACTTTGAGTAAGTCCCAATATTCTAAACATTCTAGATCTAGTACAGTAAGACGAAGGTTAGAAGCTCAAATAAGAGCAGACGAAGAAATGGCTAGGGTTTTGGCTGCAGAACAAGAACTAGAAGTGAAAAAGTTACAGTTAGAACATAAAATGATTAGGAAAAAACTTGAACATGAAAAGACGATTATCCGAAATAGACTCGCACTGCAGGAGATTATAATAGAGGAAGAAGGTTCAGATGAAGATTCCGCAAGACTCAGCAAAGACATCAACCGAGAACTAGAGGTACCAGAAGATGGCCAGTCTTCAAAAAGTAAGGTTCGAGAATGGTTGATGAGACATGGAAATAAACAAGAAGTACCTGACGAGGCACCTGATTCCCTTAAGCAAGGTAAATTTGAAACTATAGGCAAAGCAGATAGAAGTCACGATTTCCAAAATAATCGAATCTATCTAGAAAATCGGGAAGATGACATTAGGATGCTATTAGCTAGACAAGCTATAGACAAAGACCTACCCATATTTTCTGGCGATGCCAAAGAATGGCCGAACTTTTTCAATCAGTTCAGCACCACAACCAAGTTACTAGGACTGTGTAATGAAGAAAATATTTGTCGTTTGAGGAAATGTCTGAAAGGTGATGCCAGACGTGCAGTAGAAGGACTGTTGATATCGAGTAAATCTCTAGACAAAATTATGGAAATTTTGAAAACAAGATTTGGAAGACCAGAGCTGATTGTCAAATGTCTGGTAACTGAAGCAACAAATCTTCCTTATCTGAGAAACAATGACTTCAACAATCTACTTCACTTTTCTGACACTATACAGAACCTATGTACGACTTTGGAAGTTCTGGAGATGCAGAATTATTTAAGCTGTCCACAATTGCTGAATGAACTCCTCCAGAAGCTACCATACTCAATGCAAATGAATTGGGGAAAAAATATGGTAAGAAAGAAAGTTGAATTTTCATTGACGAGCTTCCAGAGATGGATTTCGGCGGAAGCAGAAGGTGCAAACTATATTCAAACTTTTCAATCTTCAAAGCCAACAAATTCACAACAGATTCAGAGAAACAAGTTCAATACCACATTGGTGACAACTAGTGATCGAACTATGAAGACAGATAAAGGTGATATATCATGTGGATATTGTTAAAAGGATCATTTCATTGAAAAATGTGACGAGTTCAAGAATCTTGCTCAAGATGATAAGTGGGCATATGTTAAAATCAAGAAGATGTGCTTTTCCTGTATCAAATCACTAACTGCAAGAGAAAGAAAAAATGTGGAGTCAATGGTTGTGAAAAGTATCATCATGAGCTGTTACATAATGAGAAATATGGAAAAAAGGGAGAAGAAACTAGAGATGAGTTGGTAGCACACACTAGAAAGTCATATAGAAATGAAGTTCTCCTAAGAATTGCACCGATAACTATCAAGAATAAAAGCATGGAGGTGAACACATTTGCACTATTTGATGAAGCTTCTACTATTACACTGATTGACGAAGATTTTGCCCATAAGATAGGTCTAGAAGGAGAAAAAACGACGTTGAACCTCAGATGGACCGATGAAGAATCTAGGAAAAACGTTGTGTCTCAGAAACTATGCTTCGTTGTATCTGGTCAAGATAAGAAAGAGTATATTCTTGATAATGTTTATACTCTGAAGAATATGGATTTACCAGTACAGACTGTTAATGCCAAGTTATTCAGAGACAAATGGAAACACCTTGAAAACATCGATTTCACAAGCTATACGAATGCCATTCCCAAGTTATTGATAGGTCAAGATCACTGGGACTTGATAACAAGTAGGGAAGTTATAGAAGGACCTAAGAATTCACCAGCTTTATCAAGAACACAACTGGGATGGATTATTCATGGAAATATCCAACAGTTTCGGGGAAGGAT